TAATTTTGGTCAAAAGTGTGCAACGCAGTGAAGGAGACATCTCCGACCCTATAAAGTATATATATTCTTGATCAGGATCACCTCCTGAGTTGATATAGCCATGTCCGTCTGTCCGTCTGTCCGTCTGTCTGTCCGTCTGTCTGTCCGTCTGTCTGTCCGTCTGTCTGTTTCTACGCGAACTAGTCTCTCAGTTTTAAAGATATCGAATTGAAACTTTGCACACACCCTTCTTTCCTTTGCACGCAGTATATAAGTCGGAACGGCCGGGATCGGCCGACTATATCCTATAGCTGCCATATAACTGAACGATCGGGAATGCCATAACTTTGGTGTTTTTAAAGTTAGAAAGTTGGGATTTTCTATGGGTTTTACATTTGGCCAATCAATTTGACGTACCAAATTTTATAAGGATCGGCCGACTATATCCTATAGCTGCCATATAACTGAACGATCGGAAATGCCACAACTTTGGTGTTTGTAAAGTTAGGAAGTTGGGATTTTCTATGGGTTTTACATTTGGCCAATCAATTTGACGTACCAAATTTTAAAAGGATCGGCCGACTATATCCTATAGCTGCCATATAACTGATTAATCGGAAATGCCATAACTTTGGTGTTTGTAAAGTTAGGAAGTTGGGATTTTCTATGGGTTTTATTTTTGGCCAATCAATCCGACCTACCAAACTTCATAAGGATCGGCCGACTATATCCTATATCTGCCATATAACTGAACGATTGGAAATGCCATAACTTTGGTGTTTTTAAAGTTAGGAAGTTGGGATTTTTTATGAGTATTAAGAATGCATCATATGAATAATTTTGGGGAATATATTTTACAGAGTATTCTGCAAGGGTATATCAACTTCGGCTCCGCCCGAAGTTAGCTTTCCTTTCTTGTTATTTAGTGAGTCACTATTGCATTGACTTGAAATACAAAACAAGCTTAAACGTAAGTTCTTTAAAAACGGAAATGCCTAAAAATGTGTCATCTAAAAATGCCTAAAATTTATAAACAATAATATTTGTAATTACTATAATACTTTCTTCACTTCTCTTTGTATTAGAGAAATTAGAGACTAAACAAAAACAAGTAAAATATTTTAACGTTTAAAGGTTTATATTTACATAGATAGAATACACAAATAATAAAAGTAAGTTAATGTTTTAAAATGTTATTACAGCTTGAATAATTTTGCAATTTCCTAATTAAATTGAAAGATTAATTTTTAAAGCGAAACTCTTAATTTTTTCCTGCAGGCACTAAAGAGTTATGTTATATTTCCTGTACCCTTTAGTAGCAGTCATTCCCCTCTTCACATCCGCATCGGAAACACCGAGAGGTGTTTGTAAGAGTAAAAGACGCAGAAAATACAGGAACTGAGGTATCTCTCCTCTAATGATCGGATTTTGTGTTGTATCGCCTCTCCTCCTCCAATTATCTATATTTAAAATCATGTAACGCATTATGACTTCATGATAGACATGAGATGGCAAATTGATTAGGCACAATTAATTGTAATTAATTACAAGGAGCTATCGTCATTATGTCACCCCGTCCAATCAATTTGCCAACTTCTTTTGTTCACCTTTCTTCGCCCTTAACTCGGTTATATTTTTCACACAAAAGGAAATGGCTTTTTAAGAGATCCATATTTTATTGTTATTAATTTGCTTTTTTTTTTTTTTTTGGCTGCCGTTTTGGGAAAGTGGCGCCGCCTGCTGGCCAAGTAGTGCAATTAGCCGAAAGTAAAAGTGGGCTTCACCGCGGGGAATCGGGGATATATATACCATATAGCATACATATATCTATTGTCTGAAACGGTAGCGAGTGGAAAGGTTTTCCCCAAGTCCATTTGAATGGTAGACGAAGATGCAATGTTTTCGAATCGCTTTGGTTCGGTTTCGTTATATATATACATATATATATACATGGATAAATCTTTCCACATGTGAGGCTCGCGTGCAATCATCAATAACCAGATTTCAATGCCAAGACCTCTTGCAGCCCCCCGAAAGTCATTAACATTAGTCAAAATGAAAGTTTTCCCAACGGACAAATAGTCACCTTGAGAACTCTACACCAGAAAAAATATTTAAGTCTAGAATGGACATGAATTTCAGTTGGAAAATAAGTTAAGAACTAGTCGTTTTTATTTTATAACAATTAAAGGTACGCTTAGGAATTCAATGTTTTCAAGTATTTTCATTTAATCTATTGGTGGAAATTATCTTCAACAAAGTTTAAATACTATTATTTGTTTACCTTTAGTTCAGTGTAGAATGCCATTTTTGGCAAATTAAATAAGTAATTGACTTCTTCATTTTTAGAATGTTGATGTTTCAAAAAAGCGTAAACCAACTTGTTGTTTTCGGAAAAAAAACTGTTGTTTCGTGATCTTGACAACCAATTTGTTGGCCTTAATTAAATATTTTATAACGAAAACCATGTCTGTTTATGATCAGTTATATTGTCCCATTAAAAAAAATGAATAAACATGTAATTCTCAATATTTAAGCGGAGTTACGTGCTTTTTTCTAGATTTAAGTGATATTCTTGATATCAGAACACGTCCGAAAAGGGTCCAACGTAGAACGCAGTATGAGATGGGAAATTCTGGAGAAGGGCGGGGTGATTTGGGGGCTGGGTCTGCTGACGTCAATGTCTTTTGTTGCCACTTTTTACGTGATAAATACGTGATTTATACGCGAATAGAACGCGGCGAAATACAGGCATTTGCATAATGAGGAAGAGTTACTCGAGAAGAGGGGAAGAGGGGGTGGCCAAACCACAATTATGCAATTTCCTGCCTGGCTCTAAGCACTTAATTATGGTTATTAAAAATTTGGCAAATAGTTTCTTCGCTTTTGCGCGCCCGAATCGTTTGCACATAGTTAGCTTGAAGCCCCAGACGCATGTGAAACATCGGAATTGGCCATATCATTATGGTTAATATATATCTGTATATATGTACATATCTATGCGGTGGCTCGGATGTGGCGTGCCAGCTTAGCCAGATTTGCAAATCCGAAACGAGTTGAACGAACGCTGGCAGCGATGTTTTGACCATCATCATTCGAGAGATGACAAACTGAACAATAGGGAAATTGTATGGAAAAGCAAAAGAAGTGGAGAGAAAGAGTTGGCAGCGAATGGTTAAATATGTTTACACAAACTCAAGAGATTAATGTCTTCATTTGTCTGATTTGGCAAATTGATTTGACGATCTCAAGTCACAATAATATTAATAAATTCTAAACTAACTAAATATGTTTTTAATGATAAATGTGTTACTAAATAGCTAAAGAGCTTAAAGAAAAATAAACAAAACTACTTACACCCTTAAGAACTATGATAAGTAGCCACTTACAAAAACCAATTAAATACGAAAAACCGATAAATAATAAATGAAATCATATCGGTCAGTGAATAAGGTCAGTAATTGTTTGTTCAGTTGGGGGTTCAATTAGCTATTATTCAATTATGCACTTATCAACCCAGTCCGGCGAATGAATTATTAAACACAAGATAGCAATGAAACCGGGTTAATTCCTGTTGGCTTTTCCTTTTGAGGTCAGCGTGTTGGGAAGTTGGGGGAAATAGCTTGGTGTAGTTAAAGTCAATCAATTCGATTAAATTTTGACTTGGCTCAGTCTCTGTGGCTACCTTATCAACCACCGGGAATCGGTGTCAGCTAATCGCACCCACAACGAACCGCTGACCTCAATTGAGGAGCACCACCCTACCAAAACCCACTTGGCCATGCCGACCACGTCTGATAGAAATGGAAATGGGAAATGAAACAAAAACAGAAGCAGAATCAGAAACAGAAATAGAAACCGAAAACAAACCTAGAAGCCGAAACCAAAACAGAATAAGAAGCGCCAAGTCCAAACATGGTCAACGAAATTGGTTTGTCACTTTCTCAGCCCAGTCCAAAGAAATACGAACGCGTCATGTGGGTGCGCCCTTCAGAAAAAAGAACACAGTTTTGGACAACAAAATAGTTGATAGGCTTGTAACACCATATGAAGTATTGCACTAGTTAGTGTTGTAAAAGTATTGTAAAAGTATAGTACAAGTATTGTAAAAGTATTGTAAAAGTATTTTAAAAGTATTGTAAAAGTATTGTAAAAGTATAGTAAAAGTATTGTACATATTCTGTAAAAGTATTTAAAAAGTTCTCAAGACTTTTTTAAAATAAAAAAGCCTATGCTAAATACAAAGTACACTTTAAAAACTTACAAAGCATTTGGTAGTTATTACTTAAAAAAAAAGTATTTTCGAATACAAATATTTGAAACTATAAAAAAGTCAATGCGTACTAATATTTTCCCCCAACTGTTGCAACCACGTCATTTGGCGGGGTTCTGAACCCGAACCCAACCCATAGTAGTTTACGTTACACTCGAGCACGTTCTTATCGCATTAATTGCCTCGCATTGCATAAGCATTGTAAAGTCTTAAAATAATAGCAAAACATAATCTCCGACTCAGCTCAGTGGGTTATAATTGTAATTAGCCAAAGCCAAGGCAAGTCTTAGGTTTGATTAACCAAAAACGTAGTCGGAGGCTGAAACCGAGTCACATTACACTATAGTAGTGCCGATATCTGGCGGAGATCGGTGGGATCAGCCAGCCGGATCCGCAGTGGAGCGCAACTGAGTGTGTCCAAGTCAGCGGGGCATCCAAATCAGACCAAAGATCTCCGAGATCCGAGGAACACTTGGGCGGAATCTAGATGTTGTCCTTGGGGTCACCAATGTGGAACTCGATTAATTATTCCAACATTTTATTTTGGGTGCCCTGAATGTTTATAGAATTTGTATATATATTTTAATTAAGTATTTTAATCAATAAACTAACTTAAGTTCTTAAGTCTTAAAATTTGTAAGTTTTAATGAAGTAATATTTTGTTCCAGACTAATATTCAATTGAAAGCATTTATTATCCCCCATATATCACATATCTCTATTAATAGTTTAATTTATTTACCTTGCAGTTGCCTCTCAAAAACAAAAAGGAAGCAAAACCCAATTGACGAGGGAAGAAAACTAAGGAAAACTGAAGCCGCAGTGAGGAAATCAAAGTAGGAACAACCACAACTGTGAGTACCACGGGGAAATGAAAACAAACAATCTGAAAATCATATGCAGAGAGTCGCAGATGGGAATGGGAATGGGAATGAGATTTCAGATTTTTGTGACCATATCCGGTTGCCAGTCGGCAGTTGCAATTGCAGCTTCCATCATAACAATAGGAAAACTGAAAACTGAAAACCGAAAGACGAAAAGCGGAGCGAACTGAAAACGCAACTTGGTCTTTTAGGGCTCATGGAAATCGCATCTTGGCATTCGCCATTGTTGCTACGGGTATGTTTTTTTTTTGGGGGGGGAAGAAATATCTTAGGGGAAATTGCGTAAAACGATGATATATTCATAGCAGATCTCGGCGATTAGATCGGTTGGCTGATGATGGGGAAATCAACGTGGTCAAAAAACGTTTCGATTAGTTATCTTCGACTTTTTCGTGCAATTGCGAAATTTAATTATTTTGGTGATGCAATTAAGAATTTCATTTAACTTGTACTTGAGCTTATTTTTATTTATTTGACTAAGCTCATTACAAGGTTAAAAGTTATTTAAATTTATACTCAATATTGAACAACCTGAATTTGATAATAGTTTGACCATTTAATTAAGTGTTATATATTATCATTAATTAAAGTGTTGTCTAAATATTAAAATATAATAAACATACGTTCGTGTAATTTCAACCTGTGTTGAAAAAGTGTTAGCTACAATCGTCCATCCAAGTAGGCTGTGCATTTTTTCAAGGCGAATGTCATTTCGTTTCCATTTTCCTCAAATCATTTTGGCATACCGTCTGAGCAGGAACACACATAACAACGTTAGAAAATAAAATTCCAACCAAGATGCCACATCGAAAATTCCCTAGAATGTCGCAGGCGCAGCTTAAGCTCTTGATTAAAAAGCAAAATCAGAATATGGAAAAGCCCATGGCCATACTGCAGCCGCCGAGGATTATACAACAGCCGCCGAGAATCGAGATGGCCAAGCAGCCGACTCCCGTTTCGACCAAGAAGCAGCCCAAAGCTGGGGCTCCTCCTGGTGGGGCTACTCCTGGTGGGGCTACTCCTGGCCCAGCTGGACAGGAGGAGACCGGTGAGAAGATGCCTGTGGCGGAGGAGGAGGAGGATGAGGGGCCGCCACAGTCGCAGCCGAAGTTCTGCCAGCAGGATAGAGCTCCCCAGCAGGATCAGCAGGACTATGCCCACCTGAGCTACTTTTCGGTGGGTCAGAGCGAGCAGGATCAGAAGGAGATTCAGCAGAGTCCCGCAGAATACGACCAGGAGGAGCAGCAGCAGCCAGAGTCGGTATCCCCAGTAACCAGTGATGATCCCTCATCCAAGCAGGATTTATTTGGCTATCGCGACAACCAGGACTGGCGTCGCATTCCGAGCAATCGTGTCGTCCCGCCAGCCGAGGATGAAAACCAGGAGCTGCCCGGATCGAGCAGCTCCTCATCCGGCGCGTTCAATTGGCCACGTCCTGAGAAATTGGATGCCAGACCGGATCGACCGGAGGGTGTGCTGCCCGATTTGTCGTCAATTGTCGATAATTGGAATCTATTCGACAGCTCCGAGGACGATCATCAGGCGAATGGCGGTTTTGGTCTATCCACCACGGTGACCATAACACCCCAGATCATGGGCGCCAACCAGCCGGAAATGACCACCACCATGGAGGTGGTGCCCATGGGCTGCTATGAAGTGCCGCCCTTGGAACCCGGCGCCCTCAACATGGACTTTCAGAGCTACATCTTCTCGGACTACTCGGTGCAGGAACCGATGGCGGGCGAGCCCAACCGGCCACCGGGATGCACTGTCTTTGGCGCCAGTGTGTCGCCCAGCGTAATGCTGACCCCGGAGCAGCAGCAACGCCTCCAGGCGGCCGTCTCGCAGCGGGAGGTGCCGCTGGAGGATGCCCTCATGGCCATTGTCCAGGATCTTCGCAAGGAGCGGCTGAAGCAGCCGACGGCGCAGACGACTTACTCCTCGGATTATCAGCAGAATGCCTATCCGAGTGGATACCACCCCACTGCAGATGCCAATGGATATCGAACTGGATATCCTACGGCAGATTCCACTGCATATCCCACCGCAGATCCCGCTGCATATGCGACTGCAAATCAAACTGCATATCCCAGTGCATATTCCAATGGATATTCGACTGGATATCCGAATGCATACTCGAATGCATATCCGAATGCACATCCGAATGCATATCCCAATGCAGGTTCGACTGGATATCCTACTGCAAATGCTACTGGATATCCCACTGCAAATGTGACTGGATATTCCAATGCAAATCCGACTGGATATCCCTCTGGAAATGCGAATGCATATTGCAATGCAAATGTGAATGGATATTCCAATGCAAATGTGAATGGATATTCCAATGCAACTGCGACTGGATATCCCACTGCAAATCCGACTGCGTATCCCAATGCGTATCCCACTGCCTATCCGTCGGGCAACCGCTTCAACGAATACCAATCTCAGCCAGGACACGGCTATGAGTCCCAGTCCTATCCCGATACTAGTAGCCATCCCCAGTCGTATGGCCAACCGTCGATGACCATGCCGATGCCGGGCATGCCCATGCCACCGGACTACAGCCACCGTACGCCGTCGCATCGCTATCCGATGATGCACCACCACCAGCAGCAGCAGCAGCCGGACTTTGGGCCACACTTCAGCCAGCGATCGCCGCATTCCAACCAGCCACAGCAGGACTTCTTGCCGGACTACATGCCCGCCTTTATGCCGGACCACAACCAGCCGCCGGACTTCAATGCCAGCAGCTCCAGCCGATCCAGTCGCTCCAGCCGCTCGAGCCGCGCCAGCATGCAGTGAGGAACCGGACGGAACTGGGAACTGGGAACTGGGTACTGTAGCACACTTACATACATCATCCATCCATCCACCCACATCATCCCGTCTGGCGAGTAAAGAGACCAAAATTGATTTTAGCCCCCATTTGGGGGTCTGTGATGTAACAGTTGACACCAACTGGAGTACTGTAGTATATTTTATTTTTCACCACTGTATTAATAAATGTAACGAGATGTGAAAAATATATTGTTTTTCAAGTCATAATTTAAGTGATTATTTTTTAAAACAAAAAAGTTTGTAAATAACACACACATTTTGGGAAATATTAATGGTTTTTTTTTTAAGCTACAACCAAGGCCTCGAAATGAATACATTTGGCAGCAAAGCACAATCATCACTAGTTGAACATTGATAAAAGCCTGGCTTAAGTATATAAATATAAAAACAATGTTTTAAATTGTCTTTCAAGTAGAGTTATTTTAAACTAAAAACAAGAACAAGTTGATATACCCTTGCAGAATACTCTGTAAATTATATTCTCCAAAATTATTCATATGATGCATTCTTAATACTCATAAAAAATCCCAACATCCTAACTTTAAAAACACCAAAGTTATAGCATTTCCAATTGTTCAGTTATATGGCAGCTATAAGATATAGTCGGCGATCCTTATGAACTTTGGTAGGTCGGATTGATTGGCCAAAAATAAAACCCATAGAAAATCCTAACTTCCTAACTTAACAAACACCAAAGTTATGGCATTTCAGATCAATCAGTTATATGGCGGCTATAGGATATAGTCGGCCGATCCTTATGAAATTTGGTAGGTCGGATTGATTGACCAAATATAAAACCGATAGAAAATCCCAACTTCCTAACTTTACAAACACCAAAGTTATGGCATTTCCGATCAATCAGTTATATGGCAGCTATAAGATATAGTCGGCCGATCCTTATGAAATTTGGTAGGTCGGATTGATTGGCCAAATATAAAGCCCATAGAAAATTCCAACTTCCTAACTTTACAAACACCAAAGTTATGGCATTTCCGATCAATCAGTTATATGGCAGCTATAGGATATAGTCGGCCGATCCCGAGCCGTTCCGACTTATATACTGCGTGCAAAGGAAAGAAGGCTGTGTGCAAAGTTTCAACTCGATAGCTTTAAAACTGAGAGACTAGTTTGCGTAGAAACAGACAGACGGACAAACGGACAGACGGACATGGCTATATCAACTCAGGAGGTGATCCTGATCAAGAATATATATACTTTATAGGGTCGGAGATGTCTCCTTCACTGCGTTGCACACTTTTGACCAAAATTATAATACCCTCTGCAAGGGTATAAATATATTAAGTACTTTTAACTCTCAGGATGAAAATATAAGTGTTATCTTAAATATATAATATATAGGAAAGCCATCAAATTTCACTTTTCATCCAACTCAAAGCGAAGAAGAAAGTGAAAAATGTGCGAAAAAAAGAGGAAAAAATGAGCAGCTTACCCACAAATGGAATGAAGGAAAAAATAAACTTGTCAGTGTCAATTGTTTGGTAGACAGCAGTTTCGTTTTCTAATATTACCAAACCAATGCCAACAAAAGGGTTTTTTTTTTTTGACCAAGTCTCTGAGCGGAAATCAAATTAGATGTGGTGCTTTAAACTGTATTCGCAAAAATTGAATTTTGTCAAGTGTAAAGACATCTTTTGGCATCCCATTGATTTACCTCCACCACTTTAAGAACTTAGTTTTTTGTTTGTTTTGCTTGAGTCATCGCATCAGCATGGGTTATCTAATCAACATTGTTAGATAACGCCTGTCAAAATAAATTAAACAAAATCAGCAAATCAATTAAGCTGTCGTATGATTTATGGAATTCAGTGCATTATCGATTGGAATCACTTATGGTTTTATAAACTATCGCAGACATATCAAATCACCTATTAAAGAAAGCTATCTGGTCACTGAACGCAGACAATTATGTAAGTAATTCGAGTCTATCAGTAAATCAATTAATTAAGTGTAATACTCTCATTAAAATATTATATTTAAATGGAATTATTGATTATGGATTGATTTTTTGATTAATAACTCGTATTCAGTTTGACTTAATATTTATCATTAATATTAAATTCATTATTCATAGTACTTTTATATTTAAACAAAAATCAAATCAATCAATAGTCATAACGCGATTTTTATTTGCATTGAGTTTCATCTGAGTTTAGGCATTACTATTTGCTCTTAATGTACACCCATTAAAAATTACCCATGGGACTCGTTGGCAATTATTTTGCAGTTGTGACACGCACGTTACTTGGTGGTGACCCCAATCTAGAGGCATTTGTGTGTCGTATGCTGAGCGCATGGAAATGAAATTTCACTTTGTTCTGCAAAGTGGGGGAGCCTTCACTTTCGATTTGCATACCGAAAATTAACTTATTTGTTAGGTAAGTGGGTAGACTGAGACAAAGAAAGCCCTCAGACTTTGTGAAAAGAAAAGAAATGCTGGAAAATGGCAGGGAGTACCAACAAAATGGGTTTCGACTGTGCCGAAAGTAACAATTACTTGCCGTTGTGGCGGGTCTTTGCTAATTCCAATAAATATATTTATTTATCCGCAGTGAATGACACTCAAACAAGAAATGGATGAGATCACCTGGGTTCTCTTGTACTTAATTGGATACCAATTATATGCATATTTACTCTCAGCCTGATTAAAATTATAATTTTTGGAATTTTTTAAAAGGGTTTTTCGCAATTAACTAGAAAATAATATAAGCAAGTTCTCATATTAAATGCAATTGAAGTCCCACGAGCATTATTTTGTATGTTTTATCAATCGAAATTTAGAAGTTAAATTGTGAATCTCGATGCTCTGAAGTAATAATTGTTGGGCGGGATTCCAGCTCCAACTTTTGCGTGCCGCGAATAGAAAGTGAGCGTCAACTTTCCCACCCACTTTTCCAGTGCCGCCCACCGCCCCTTTGAATATAATTATTGCACTTTGCCATTTCAATTTTGCCTTTGTCGCCTGCACTTGAAGGTTGCCTTGTTTTTATTTTCTTTAATTTGCGTTGTGTTCTCCCTCTTTGTGGTGCTTGTTTTCCAGCTGGGTATTTTCGTTTTTTTGTCAGATTTGTCAAAACTTAAACAAACAATACAAAAGCAAACAAAGTTATATAAATCAATTGAATGTGCTTCGTACAAAACATTTTAAACCAAATTACCAATGAATCATATATTATTTGTGCTTGAATAAATGGATTTATTTAATTTAATCTTCAATTATTTGTTCTTTTAATATGATTTTCTGGTTAATTAAAAGCCCTTATATTGAGCTTTACAAAAAATGTTTAAACAATCTTTTCTAAATTAATTTTTAAGAACACCATTGCCCAGACCAATCATATTTAAATCGATTATAATTTTAATTGTCTTAGAAACAATATCAAACTGGTTTGTTATTTTGAGATCCGGTTGTAGTTTTTTTTAGATTATCACGACCGCATTTATTCAGGTCGCTAGTCAAGCCAGTTAATCCATATTAAATATGAGAATATAAAAAGTTGTTAAATTATGGCTCTCGATGGATCTTGATAACAAATCGAAATTTAAATGTTTGAGTAAACTCCATCACTACTTTGCCTCTGGGAAAACCAATTGCAAAGAGTATCTGATGGAACGACCAGTCAAATAGGTATTTCCTTGGGTATTTTCTTTGTGTCAGGGCTTAATTGCAATGTGGAGGCACTTGCTCCAGTTTTGCGGGCATATGAAAGTGCATTTGGTTTTTTCTCCTCCGTTTTCTTTGCTCGCCTTTGCCTTTGTGGTATTATGAAATGGTCTGCATAGAGGGCCCAGGGCCCAGGGCCTTGAGTCCAATTCGAAAATGCGGCCCAGAGATGGCAGACTTACGGCCAGAAGGCTGTATTCAAAATAATGCAATGCAGTTACGAATTGAAATTACCCGTTTTTTAAATTTGTATACAAATTTGAATAGTTAATCTATATATTTATTATTAATTGAAAAGAGTACTTGTAATGTAAACTTGTTTTAACGTTTTATTAATTTAAATTCAGAAATATGTTATTAATAGACCAAATATATTCAGTCATACAAAAGAGTTTTAAACTTATTTTAAAAGTGTCCTATAATTTAAATTATTTAAGAAAGTAAACAAATAAGTATAAACTGATTTTTATAGGATTATTTTCTAGGTTCAATCAGAATAAAATGATCTGTTTATAAATTTCCAGAATCAGAGATTGTCTAAAACGAACAAAGTCTCATAAAAAAAGTTAACAGTTTTTTTCTTAGTTTTGTTTGCTATTATTTTTAAGCTATTTGTAAATAAGGTGCATCTGTTTTTCCGTCGGCTGCTGGGCAAATGGTTTTACGATGCTGATGATATTAGCATACAACTTCCCTCGGGGCTCGGATTTGAAGCCCAGTCTGGTATGGATGTCATTCGTTATGGTTCGCAGAACTTCGCTATTTGCCGCCTGGCTTTGTTTGCAATAAATCCGGCGGGCTTTAAACAATTGCTGTTTTGTTTTACGGGCCCTCAAATTACCATGCAGCATAAAACAAAAAACCAGGCGGCCAAATGGCAATTGTGACCTTTAACGCCTGATGCCGTCATGTCAACTGTGCTGTGTGCCAAGTGGCGTATGCGTAATATTCGAGGTGCACTTTCATCAGTCGGCATGTCTAGATATTTCCTACGTATCTTATCGGCCAGAGAACACAACCTCAGGCAAGACAATTAACCCAAATAAATGAGTAAAATACGTTTAACATATTCTCGGTTCGTTTTTAGCACAAGCAAATGTGCGGCGACGCACAAATGCGAATTAGGCCGGGCTTCAAATTGTGGTTTTCGGCTCTCGGAATTGCCAAAAGCTTGTGTATAACAAAAAAAAAAACAACAACAACAACAACAAGAAACCAGCTACCACTAAATTTGTATTTTCACAGCCGCCCAAAATTGGAATGCTAATTTTTTTCTTTGTCAAGTACCTGGTAGTTATGGGGAATATTCGACGGAACAAAAATAGAGCATTTAATTATCAGCAAGATTATATACATTCAAAGAAAATATACTTTTTAGCTTTAAAATAATTATTAAATATATATATATTAAATATTACATTTGCCTTCTCTTAAGTTTGTTCTTTAAAAGGAATCAACATTTATTTCAATATTTTTTAGCCAACTAAATGTCCGTTAAATAGCTTAAAAAGCTACAAAGTAAATGTTTTTTTCATTTTTGGTCTGTCAAGTATCTTGAAACAAAAATTAGCTCGATTTCCAGATAAAAGCCAGTTATTTATTTATTTGCTGGCTGGGTATTGCAGCGTCGACCCCATTAAACCGCTGTTTGTTGGCTTTATTTATATTGCCAGTTGGCCAGAACAAAGCGGCGAAACAATTAAGAGCAAGCACGAGAGGGCCGAAGTGGTGGTGGCCCATACAGTCAGAGCCATTTAAGACAGTTACATCTTTTTGTTTTTGGCGTGGGCAGAAACTCGAAATGTTATTAACAAATAAAGGGATGGGCTGGCTGGAAATAATCATTCGAAGATGCGACCGAAGAAGGCTTTTGTTTATGACACAAGTCGTCGACCTTCAGTGGGTGGATGCACAGAAAAAATAACATTTTGCTAATGAAAAATTATTAAAAATATAAGTTACTCCCCTTACTTATATTTTTAATAATTTTTCATTAGCAAAATGTTATTTTTTCTGTGCATAAATAATCAATGTTAATGTGTTGTCAAGTCTTATCTGTGGTGATAATATCAGAAAACCATAAGGCCTCAAAAATATTAAAAGGGAAGTCTCAAGGGATCTTGAGTTTCTGATAAGTATGCGGAATGAGAGTGGGGCACCCAGAAATGCCCAAAAAAGGGAACTCCTCGGGGGACAGCCGACTAAACCCGTTTCTCAGAATGTAAAACGTATTTCGTATTTCGAAAACGCGATTTCGATGACTTCATCGAGCTCCACACACTTAATGCCAATTGTTTCCCCCAACCACTGACTCATCCTCACCCACTCTTTCTCCCCATCTCTTCCAGCGTTTTGGGAGCAGTCGACGCAAGATCGCAGAACGGGACGCATCATGACTTTCTACTGGTGGTCACACTGGTTCTGGATAACCCTAATCCTGAGTGGTAAGTCCTAAAGTAATAATAATATTCACCATAATTTATAATTAAACTATATTTTTGTTGAGAAGGTTAATTTTGTATTTCATATTATTAAACACATTAGTAAGATTTGTATTATCGTGACGAAAATAAAAAACTTTAATCAAAATTAAGGAATTTATTTATTAATTTAAGTTGAATTAAAATTCAAAGTTGGTTTTCTATATCATTTGATATTACTTTATAATTGTATTTAAATATTCTAAGCAAGTGTATTTATGCAGTTAAAGCATATGTATTTAAATTTGTAAGCTATGTACCATATATAGATGAATTAAATTTAATTAAACTTTCCGCAGTTAACTTGCTGTCCAGCCATGTCCACACATATCCCAGCCAGGAGGCGGAATCGGTGGCCTCCAGTCCGCATCCGCAATCGCAGCCCGTGCGCACCACGAAGCTCTACCAGACGACGGTGACCCAGACGTGGGGCACGGCCACCCAGAGCAACATCATGGACCTGACCCACCGACCCACCACCAGTCGTCCGCTGGTGACCCCCAGTTATGGTGGCGCCGAACAGCCGGAGGTCGACGAAGTTGACCAGGCGGTGGAGCTGCAGGAGGAAAAGCTGCCGCTCAACGAACGAGAGCAGGAACAGGAGCAGGAACAGGAGGAGAATCCGGATCAGGAACAGGATCAGGAACAGGATCAGGATGAGGCAGATCCAGATGCGGATGCGGATGCGGATGCCGAGGATGCTGCGGCCAACGAGGAGCTGGCTCAGTACGAGTTCAAGCGATCGGCGGACTTCACCTCCGAGCAGCTCAATAACTTTACGAATTTCAGCAGTAGCACTAGGTGAGTCCACTAATTAAGTATTATTTATAGCGAATAAAAAGTAATAAACCTAAAAAATAAAAATAAAGAGCTAATATTCAAATAAAAAGATTTATATTATAATAATTATTAAAAGACATATATTATAATAATAGTTTTAAATATGTTTTGTTTGTAAACATTTATACTTACTTTAATTTAACTCTTGCTGAACCTGCTTCTTTTGTTCCTTCGATCAGTACAAATGGCAGCAGCAGTGGCACTACCACAAAACCTGTTGCGATCAGCAGCAGCAGTCCGGCCACAAGAACAACCACCACCACATCCAGAGCGGTGGCATCATCGCCGACCGCTGCGACATCGCCAGGACCCAGAGCCAGTGCATCCTCATCCACGCCAGCGGCTGGCTCGGCGGCTACTCCGTCGACGCCCAAGATCAACACGGAGTGGCTGTCCGATGAACTCCTGGCGGGTGCTAGTGCTGGTGCGGGGTCAGGGGTCACGGGCAACGGCGAAGGCAATGGCAATGTCGAGGGCGAGGGCGAAAAGGCACCGTTCACCTTGGAAAACGCCAACAAGGAGGACGAACTGAGGCGAGCCGAGAGCGAGCACAGATCCCGCAAGTCCAAGGTCCTGTCCGCGGAGTACAAGCACATCAATCGCTACATCAACTTCTCCAGCGACACCAAGAGTCTGCTGACCAGGTCCGCATCCGCGGCGCCCAGCGTGGCGGGGGGCGTGACCGGATCCGGGTTCTACGATGGACCCGTCGGCGACGAGGGCAAATTCGCATCCGAGGCCCTGGCCATTCAGGTGGGTTGAGCCTGTCATATCACATATGAAACATTCTTAGAAGTGAATTAATTAAAATAAAATGTTGATACCATTTCAATTTTCATATAATGTCAGATATTTTTTTAACAAATGCTTGCCACTCAAGATACAAATGTTTAATGCTTTCAATTTCGATTATCTTTTTCAGCGAACGTATTTCCTAGATGCGGGTGCCATTTCGGCGATTTGCTTCACTGTCTTCGGCGTCTGCTGCACAGTGGGCACCATCGGCATCGTCCTGTACCGTCGGCGGTATCTGAACAAGCCGCAGGCTCTTAGCGAACCGGACTCGAGTGTCTACATCGATGACAGCACCATGCGGGTGAGTGTAAGGATTCGTTGACCATTGCCATTGGCATTAGAAATTCCTATGCACTCAGTAGTTCTCTCTCTTGTTTTTGCAGGACAATTCGGATGAGATGTACAGCCTGGACAACGACTCGTTTCTCAATTCGCTGGAGGCGATGACAATACAGAACTACTGGACGGACACGGTCAAACATACAAAGCTTTAATTTCCGGCCTCTCCCGTTGGAAGTCCACCACCTCCTCATTTTTACTCGTTTGTGGTTTCATTTCGATTCCGATTTCGATTCGTTCTTTTGTGGAATTCCTGATTTAAAACCAGACATCATAATCATTAAGTAGCGTAGCGTTTAAGCGTGTGTATGTATTTACTAATGTTAGGCAACCAAAACGAGCAACTAGTTTAAGCCCAAACTACCAAAATTATGTTTAGTGTACGTGTAGATCCTAAGTGCGCAATGTTTTTGTCGGTTTTGGCTGTTAACTGAAGCCTTCATAACCACTTCCCCACTTCCCAATCCATTTACACTCCCTGCTCTCTTGATAAACCCATTCGTACTCGTATCTGTTAGTTAATTATTAAACCTTATTTATATTGTTAACTATTTTATCGACCTCCCCGCGCCCAAACCTAATTTTTAAAACAACTATTTATTAAGTTTCCAACTTTGTGTCCAACAATTAAACGCAATCATTCCTTCCAGTTTAGCCTATAGAGCAACTTTACACTGTAATTACTGTATTAAAAGCGAAGCAAGGAAACAACAATTAAAAGAAAACATCACACATACACATCGGTGTTGCTAGAATTTTAGCGAAAATAACGTGTTTTTAATGTTAGCATCAAATTCATTGATATAAACTTTTTTAAAAGTTTGTGAAATAAAAAGTTTCGATGGGAAAACAGAACTGGCAATAAGTGCCAAAAAACAACACCTTTCAAGCAATAGATATTTTTTAATATATTATCAAGCGGCTTAAATTAAATGTTATGAAATCAGACAGTTTTCTGGCAACCGCAACTCATTTTCACTGAGTTTCTAGCAACACTGCATACAATTGTTTCAATATATATTCATATATCAAAGAAGTGTAAGAACAAAAAACTGTTTACTGCCACACAATCCTTGTCAATTTTGCTCATCGAACTTTTATACACCACTTGTACTTGTATTATCCGTTCGAATGTTGCAAATATAAAACGCAAAACGAAGCCCAGATGGTACATTAATCATTAAATGCTAAACTGAAATTATTCGAAAAACTGTTATTAATTGGCGTAGCCACATCGTTGGGGAATCCCACCCGCAAGCAGTGTTGGGAAAGGTATTGCCCAAAGGGTCAAATGTACCATGGTTAAAGGTAATGTAAATTTATTTTAGTAAATAGGAAAATGCCTTTAATTTTTCAATTTAAATTTAAATTCTTAAATGTTTAGGTACGAAAAACTACTCTTCAGCACTGATCAACACTGTTATAGGGTGTTATCGATATGCACTCGACATCGATAGCGCCGAAACTATCTAAATGGTTGCCAATCGTTCTGCGCCAATCGAGTTGCTGAAGGAGTGCAATAAATATGAATTAAATGGTAAATATAAAACCGCGACAGGTGTTGTTTTCGGAGTTGTTTCGTTAGCATTGTTTTTGTTCCCGCTGCTGCACCGTTGCAATTGTTGTTGCTGTTCCTCGAGAGTCGCGTGGTTGTGTGTTGTTGTGCGACGGGTGTATGTTTATCAGTGTGTGTGTTGTGTTGTGCGGTTCCTCCACCAAAAAAAAAAGGAGCTGCGAAAAAAAACACGGCAAATCTATTGATTTTTAACAATACGCACATGTATAGACACACATAACGGTAAAGGGGGAGTTTGTTTTTCGCACGCCTCCTTTTTGACTCAGCGGTTCAGCGATTGCAACAATCGGCGACAACAAAGGGGCACCACCGCCCCGCCCCCCGTGGCAGCAACCGCATGCACCATCCACATGCACCACCCACCATCCCGTGTTGTTGTGTCTGGCTGCAGCTTCCTTTTCTGCGTTTCCTGCGTTTGTTTTGCCTGCGCGAGGACTTTTGGAGGCCAAGTTTACGTGTGCGCAATCAACCACGGACACGGGAACCCAGAAAAGGGGACACATATAGACAGTTAGTAGTGGGTTAATGTTAATTGCCCGCATTGATTTCGCTGTCCAACAAGGGTCACTATTAAACCAGAGGTCACCACACCTGCAGCACCATTAGGAAGCTCAGAATAGCCCCCCAAACACATGTACAAATGTAGTATATATGCAAAGTGATTAGGAATACCTACATATATTAGTTAAACATAACATAGGAATGCCCCCTGGCAGAATGGCCCAAAGTGGTGAGAAATTTTGAAATATCGCAGCAAAACTAGGTGTTATAAAAATATCACCCCAAAAACTAATACAGGATTAATCAAAACAAAGGGACTTAATATACACAATTAGTATTTGTATAGGCGGCTTGAATTTTGATTAAAAGGATGTTCTAAAACCGACCCATTAAATTTATAAAATTCAGAATAGTTTTATAATTCCTTTTCATATGTCCAGATTAGTCCCATATTTCCCTTTTAAGACAATAAAAAAAATTACAGTTTTCAATTTAATTTTAAAGATATTTTAAAGTAAGCTACGATAAATTTTATACACGGCATACAAAGGGTTAACAGCTAAATAGGACGTTTTAAGATATTTTAATTTCAATATTGAAATACTTTTGACTTTCCATAAAAACATAATGCCGCATGATAGGGTATCGCAACCACTACATCACCGACAGCGATGGCAACCTGTCCCTGACTTTTTGCTGGGCTGTGCTGCAGTGCAGTGATTCACTGCCGCCTTAGATCATCGACTAATCACCCATTCTCCTCCAGGCAGTGGCCCACAGTGAAGCAGCAATCGCAGCAGCAGCAGCGGATGCAGCAGCAGTCCTCGAACAGTAGTAGCTATCGAAGGAGCAGCCACATCCCTCATCCCAGGAGATCCCAGTTGTTGTCCAGCCATGAACTCCAACTCCTGCAGCGACAGCAGCAACGAGTCCATGGTCAATCCGGCGCACATTCAGATGACCTTTGGCCAGCAGACGCAGCCGCAGCAGCAGCAATCGCAGCAGCTGCAAGGACAACAGCAGCAGCAGGAGCGATATGTGTGGGAGATGCGCACCCGTAGTCCGAACGTGACGCCAGCCAGTACGGTGCTCAATTCGCCGGATCTCAATGCCGAGCTGTCCTACGTCCCAATGCAGGGTCTTTCGCCATCCGGCGGAGGGGGTCAGGTGCCCGGTGGCTATGGTTTAAATGCCGCCCGAGATTCCGGCGGCTATTACTACCAGCGACCGCATTTGCATCAGATCCGGCTGGGCAGGAGTCCAGGTAGTCAGTTCGAGTCCCGGGATGTCCTTCCACAGGTGAGAGAAACTAAGAAATACTTTTGCACTCAATAATTACATTTTTCCTCATTTTCTTCAAGGGATTGGCCAGTCCCGGCTCACCAACGGATGTGGGCAAGGCGGATGGTCAGTGCCTGCGGGATGGCGAGATTGTGGTGTTCGACGACATCGACACCAACTGGATGAACAAGGCATCGAGTGGCCAGCGACCAGGCAGCAACGAGGATGTCCTCAAGGTGACCAAGATGATTGGCCAGCTGCCCATTGCCGAGTACGAGGGATCACCGCGTCGATTTGGCAGTCAGCCGAACTCAAACACTATCACCTTGGGTGGTCCACGGAAACGACCGCCGGGATTTCCGCAAAGAGTTTCGCCCACAACCAGTGGTGGAAATGCAACTGCAAATGCGACAAATGCCTCGGCCAAGGCTTCCGTGGGCAACCTAATCGATTTGATCGATCACGAGGAGGAGCGTTCGGGGACGCTACGCGAAAAGACCCCGACTTTCGATTACCTGTACGAATTCTCGGAGACCAGGAAAGTGCTGGAGGAGTTCTTCAAGGCGAATCCGGAGGATGAGAAGCGATACACAGACTACACCACGGAAAGCGGCGACGATGTGGCCAGTTCGGTGAGTATAAAAGCATCCAAGTGGCTCAATATACCAATTTAACATTTTTTTTTTTGGGTAGCAGCAACAGGAGTACCCGGCCACGCCCTTGGAACAGGCATACATTGGCCAGCGGCTAGCGAGAATACCCAAAGATGAGCTCTACATGGTGCACCGCTCGCCTATTAAAAAGCCAGTGAGTCTTTTCAAAATAAAAACCATTAAACTTGCTCACATGCAACTCATATCTAGCCCAGTGAACAGAATCCAGCGACTGCCTACCAAGAGCACAATGACATCGAGCTATATATCGATTCGAATAGTCGCAGCAGCGGCGAGCTGGCGGACACGGAACTGGAGGCCAATCTGCGGCGGCACTCGCGAAACTTCACATTGTCGCCGGAGACTACGGATTACGATTCGAATTGCGGCGACCTGGATAGTCTGTCCAACGACATCAACTGTCCCACGGATTATGGCAAGCTGTATACGAGCATGCCCGTCTTGGAAGATGGCCTGAGCAGTGGTCACGCCTCCGATACGGAGAACAATGTGTCCGTGGTCTGTGACAAGCAGCAGTCGTCCCAGTCCCAGCCCGTCCACGAGCACAATGGGAATGGTGAGCGGCTGGAGAACGACTACAATGTGATGAGTGCAAGCATGGCCACTCTGACCACAGATGCATCGCAATCGGCACTGATTAGCGACTTCGCCTCGCTGCCCATGCCCATGCCCCCGGCTCCGTCTCCATGCTCACCGCCCCAAATCGAGATCGCCGATGCCAGCGAATCCATGACCATGGCCTCAGAAGCAGATAATCCATTGGACAGTCACTACGGAGCAGTTTATGCGGCCGCTTTGGGAGGTTCTTTAACAGAACAGACAGGAGGATCGGGACTGGGGGTGACTTCGGTGACTGCAGGGGGATCTCTGCCATCGCATGCTGCATCGGAAATCCAGGAGGCCATGAAAGAGATCCGTTCCGCCTTGCAGCGTGCTAAAACGCAGCCAGAAAAGCTGAAATTCTGCGATGAGGTGCTGCCGACAGATCCGGAATCGCCGGTTTGGGTACCTCGCAAGACAACGACGGTATCGGTGGCCCAGGCTGCTGCGGCGGCGGAGGAGGAACCAGACACGGACCTGGAAACGGATCGTTTGCTTGGTCAGCAGCGGCACGATGAGCAGGATTTTTTTGCCGATCAGGTGAGGAATACAAATATATACCCATGTGCAATTCGTTAACAATAATTTTGTTCAATCCCGCAAAGCCCCTTTCCGACAGCAATGCCAACGAGGGCACGGAGATCGCCACCAATGGGCATATGAATGGCGCGGCAGACAACAACAACCCGAATCCAATGCCTAATGTCAAGCCACAGACCTACTCGACGGCCACCATACGGCAGGGTATCGGCACCTCTCTGACGCCCAATTCGCCGGATATCTGCCAAATCGTAGGCACGGCTGACATCTCCATCAGTTCTCCGGAGAAACTGCAGTTCAGCAAGAGTCCCACGGGATCCATCAAGTCGCTGAAGGACTCGGCCAACTCGGACAAAAAGGCCAAGTCGCGAAACAAGGAGGGTAAGCATTCTGGAATTCTATGTAGTTTTACTGGGCAACGCCCCCGGTTTTTCGTTTACTGATATCGAAATCCATTCGACTTTTCACGCTGCAATCTGTACCCATTTAATGCTGATATTATGTAAGTCGCTGTTGCCAGGCGAAGATTTCGCAATATTTTTGTTTATGAGTGCACTTTGTTTATAAAAAGCAAACCTCTTTTTAATTAAAACCGTAAACCATGAACCTATTACCCCATTCCCTCAATAACAATAAGTATACATTACCCTTTAGGTCTCTTGGAACCCAAAGTTCTCATCGAGGGCGTGTTGTTCCGGGCCAGATACCTCGGATCCACTCAACTCGTCTGCGAGGGCCAGCCGACCAAGTCGACCAGGATGATGCAGGCCGAGGAGGCGGTCTCCAGGATCAAGGTAAGTAGGCTAAGCCCCGTGGAGCACTACAAAACCACCTCCATCCAAGAAACCCCGCTAGGCTATGCTCTATGTGTGTGTCTAAAACTTTCTCGTTCGCTTTTCTCGTTCCCTGCTGCGCATTCCTCTCGATAGGCTTTGGTAAGCGATCGTTGGCCCCTTAATCGTTGCAAAATAAAACCCTCTTTAAAGTATTATTTATTATAAAATGCTTATTCATATAATATTCTTACCAGGCTCCCGAGGGCGAAAGTCAGCCGAGCACTGAAGTGGACCTGTTCATATCAACCGAGAAGATAATGGTGCTGAACACGGATCTCAAGGAGATTATGATGGACCATGCTCTGCGCACCATATCCTATATAGCCGACATTGGTGATCTAGTTGTGCTAATGGCTCGTCGCCGGTTCGTGCCCAATAGTGTGGTGGATCCAGCGACCGCCAGTCCACTGGGTGATGTGCCCAGTCCGGGAATGGGCGAGGATGGGTCGCCGCCCAAGGAACCACTCAGCAAGCACAATCGCACGCCCAAAATGATCTGCCACGTGTTCGAAAGCGATGAGGCACAGTTCATAGCCCAGTCGATCGGACAAGCCTTTCAGGTATATATTTGCTATAAAATATAGTCCCACTACCACTTAGAAATTAATATATTTGCGAAAGCTTGATCATGTGCTTTAAAAACTTGATTGGCGGTTATCAATGGTTTGATTTTATTCTCAGTAATTAAAAAAAAACATTTCCAAAGTTAAATGAGTGCATATCAACAAGCATAAAATAGCAAATACATTATTTTTAAAATTATAAGTTGCAGTTGGTATTTCAATATCAGCAATTGTAGAGGGCCACAGAAATACATTATTAGGTTTCACATTTTTGACATTTTACATTTTTTTTCGAAAATTTCACGAAAAAATCTGTGAATGCCAGTCGATTTGAAATTATGTTACGACTTCGACAAGGTATGGCATTTCATTATGGGACCTTTATTTACATTGCTATCGTAAAAATACTGATATTTTTAAGCGCAAAATCATTAAAAATCACATTATTGACATTTCACATTTTAATATTTTTTAATTTAATATTTTTCCTAACTAGGTGGCCTACATGGAGTTTTTAAAAGCAAACGGCATCGAGAACGAAAACCTGGCCAAAGAGATGGACTACCAGGAGGTGCTCAACAGCCAGGAGATTTTTGGCGACGAGCTAGAGATCTTCGCTAAGAAGGAGCTGCAGAAGGAGGTGGTGGTGCCGAAGGCCAAGGGCGAGATCCTGGGCGTAGTGATCGTGGAGAGTGGCTGGGGCTCCATGCTGCCCACCGTGGTGATTGCCAACCTGATGAGCTCCGGAGCGGCCGCCCGCTGCGGCCAGCTGAACATCGGCGACCAGCTGATCGCCATCAACGGCATGAGCCTGGTGGGACTACCGTTGTCCACCTGCCAGAGCTACATTCGCAATGCCAAGAACCAAACTGCCGTCAAGTTCACCGTTGTGCCCTGTCCGCCTGTCGTCGAGGTCAAGATCCTGCGACCCAAGGCGCTGTTCCAGTTGGGTTTTAGTGTTCAAAATGGCGTGGTAAGTCGGGCACAACTCGACAATTAAATGTTGTATCCTTAATTAATAAACTTTAAATTTTTCCAAATCCCTGGCAGATCTGCAGCCTTTTGCGTGGAGGAATCGCTGAGCGGGGCGGAGTGCGCGTTGGCCACCGCATAATTGAGATTAACAATCAGAGCGTAGTGGCCGTTCCACACGATACCATTGTCAAGCTGCTGTCATCGTCAGTGGGCGAGGTAATTAGTCAATTTAAAAACAATTTGAAACCGGGGACTAACAATTATTTTATAAACAGATCCTGATGAAGACAATGCCCACGTCCATGTTTCGTTTGCTCACCGGCCAGGAGACGCCTATTTATATATAAATATATGAAACTGTTCACACGCCTGCTCTGGAATCGAAAAACTATAAATTCGTCATCTGCAATCAACAAAAATCGAATCGACTGGGAATCGATTCAAAAATAGACCAATTATTAGCCTTATATTGATGAATGCACATACCGCACTTTTGGTTTTTACAAAAGGATAATGTTAGTATTAGCCTATTTTAATGAGTCATTTATTTGGTTGAGAATTTGACAATTTGTAAATCGATTAAGCCTTAAATGAGATTAATTGTTCGTCGATAAATCGTTCAACTGCCCAATATCGATATACATGCTAAGTGCAATGGAGATTATTATTATTGTTCCAGCAAATATTACTTTTTGGTCATTTTTCCCATCTTTGTATATGAAAAAGACTGAATTTAAAGCCAGTGCGAGTGTATGTGAGCAGTCATTGTAAAGTATTCAAAAAATTGTAAACCCAATGTCCCCCAAAAAAAATATACCCAACCTTCCCATTATTCCCTCGCATCCCGTAGCTTAAGCATTCGATTGAATTTACTTGCAAGCAATTATTTATGATATGATCTAATCCATTATTTGTCATGTAAATTAACCGTACTTTAGTTCTTTAACTACATTTATAATTTTCGATAAAGAGAAACAAAAAGCAACACACCTTATGCCAAAAAAGAGTTAGATTTCGTTATACTTATTATTGTATAGAGCCATTGCGGATGATTATTGCAATACCATTACCGATATTTATAATTAATAAATAGCCTTAGAAAAACGAAGCCATGCCTGCAAAACAACAAACAAAATAAATGCATTTAAAACGCGTCAGAACAAAAATAACCAAGCGCATATTGATTCTAATTGTATATGTCTGTACAAGAAATCTGCACATTTCTCGATTGATAATTGCCATATACATAACGATATATACTCATACGAAATTATGATAAATCTAAAGCGAAACAATAAGCAAAACAGCAAAAGTAATACGAAGAACAATAATTTCAGCATTGTCTAGTTTCTGTTAAGCGAGGGCATAAATGTATAAGAAAGAGATGGAGCCACATAAAAGACAGAGATGGCGCCACAGGAAGCGAAAGAGAGGGAGATAGAGAGAGAGAGAGAGCTTATTTTTGCATACTTTAAGAAGCGACAAACAAAAGGCAAATAAACCACAAAAAGCAAATAATTAAAACCAATATGTATACATATGTTGTTAATCTAAATGGAAACGACTTAACTAAAAAAATATTTTAAATATTTCAAGTGCAGGTAACAACAAAAGACGCAAGTTAATAATATTTATATAAATATATATATAATACTTCTGATCGCCATTCGGAAGCGCAGGTGCAATATTTTTGAAAAACATAGAAACACAAAGCCATAACAATTAATTAATAAATTTCTAAGCTACTCGGGACACGGCAACAACACTAAGGAACCCACTAACGAACTCTCTGCTACTGCGCCTCTAACTAACTTCTAAAACCAAACACTAATCGTATACTACCTAATGCAATTTATTTATTAATACTTAACACGTGACCGAATACAAACAGCAGCGAGAAACAAAAATAAACTACATTTATACACAAAAGTTAAGTAATGTGGTTTGGGGTTTTCTCCGGTTATGGTGGGGATTATCCAAAAGTGTTTTTGGTAAGTTTTCAGTTTATTTCTAATAATACAACCAATGTAAGAAGTGTACCATTCCTACTAGTAATTAATTTCTTGAAAGCATTTTTAACTTCATAAGCTTATAACATGTATATTTTTTAAAATTATTGGTTTCATTTAGTTTTTAAACATTTTTTATCAGGTTTTTTTTGTTTTCAGCCATGGTTTTAATGGAAGTGGCTGTTTTTGCTGCGTTGTTTTCGATTAATTCCACCCATAAAACATTAATTGATTGCATGGGTGGTGGGGGTGCAAAATGTTGTTGTTTTTGTTGACGCAATTGCAGTGGAACGAACTTTATTTATATGCGCCGCCCATGTGAAATGTAAAAAAGTCTCGCTGCAAGCAACTTTTGATTTACGGCGGAGCTTTCACAATTTCATGGGGAAACAAAACTCAATTTGTTGGACTCTGTTTCCGGCTGGAGGCGAAAAAATTGTTGCTCCAATTACGCAGAAATTGCACTGGCTGCAATGGCACACAGAAAGAACTAAAAGCATTCATGAATTGCCTCCACAAATGGGGACGTGTTTTTGGAAACATAAAATAACATTTAATACCTTTGAGTAATCCACGCACAGCCAAATAATGACTGTTTTGTGCCGCTGAGGACCTAAACTATTGATTCCAGGTTGATTTGGAAATATATATTTATTTCTTGCAAAAGTATGTTTTATAAGATTATTTGCGAAAATTTGAGTACATTAAATTTTTAACAATTTCAATGAAGTATTAAAAATAAATTAAAAATTTTTATTTACTTATACTAATGTTTTATGGGTAACAAATTAATTAAAGAATAACAAATTGATTAGAATCAAGTGTATACAAAATCCAGTAAACATTTGTTCTATATTTCTGGAGATTTTTTCTTTCTGTGCACACCCTTTTGCTACAAATGTGGCCCAGAAAAACTTTCAATTTAAAAATATTTTTACAACTCTTTTGCGAAAATGGGATTGTAATTTTTTGCCCGGGGAAATGCAAAAGCAAGTGAAAATATTAATGTGCAATGCACGTTTACAACCATGTTTATATGTTTTAAATCGAATAAAAACGTCACTGGGGTTGCGGTAGTAAGGTATAGTGAAGGTATTTTTATCTTTTGCCATTTTCGCATCGAAATCGTATGTAAATATTTATTAATTGAAGTCATTTAAGAACGAAAAAGGGCTGGTAAATGGAAATTGTTAAAAAGACACAAGTGTTTCGACCATGGACAACCGTTTACGTATAATTATTTATAATAATTGATAAACTATAAATAAATATTAATACTTGGGTATGCCATTTAAATACAAATATACACATTTTTATTATACTTTTTTATTTTATTTTTGAAAGGTTTCTTCTGAATGTCCTTTTTTACCTGTTGCAGTAAGCTGCATCAAAAACATACATCCATTTAGCCAGAGGAAGGGAAGTTCTCGGCTTTTCTTTATTGTTTTTCCGCAGAAAATGCATTCAAATGGCCATGCAGCTGTCATATATCATGCTGCACCATATCAGATCCTTTGACCAGCGAGGACTCGGACTCCAACTGCCATCCATTCCGCACCTCCATTCCGCATCCAATTTGCGGTCGGAGGTGGCCCTTTGTGTGGATTGCCTTTTGTCGCTTTATTGCCATTGTTGGTCTTGTTTTCGCTGTAAATTAAGTGACACGAGGAGTGGAGTTTGCTCGCCCTTTTCGCGCGTACTGAGCAAACACAGTGAGTACTGGCAATATATTTCCTTTCTCTTTACCTACATTCTACATTACAGGGCTTACATAGCGCCACATTACATTACATGACTTTTTAAGTTACATTTTCTACCTACATTTCTTACTTGTTTATCTACAATTAATATTAATATTTAAAAAACCAAGAAAATATATTTAACTAATGTCTTTATAAACTTGGAAATATTTCTCACCGATTGTCGATTTAAATTTATTTTGAAGAGATTTCGACCCCGGATTTTGATTTTAAAAAGAAACATACGTAATTAAAAAGAATTACTTAAAGTATATATAATAAATGCTAAATCAATGTTTTTAAATTATCGGAACTATAATAACATAATTTTCCGTTAGAAGCCAATGTTTACTGTCCCCTTCACGTATTATGCATTGTTCGTTTGACAATTCATCTGCGACGAAAGTGGAATTTAATATGCGCTTTCCTCTGATTCTGCATCTGCCACGCCTCCTTTTTTAAACCGCCCTTTTTGGAAGCATCGAGCTACAGCAAACTTAATCAAAATGCGATGTGGTCAGTAGGGGGTTTGGAAACCACGTGTTTGGCATTTTCGCACCTTTTTTGAGAAAATTAAATTGCCTTCAATGTCATAGACTGCAATCGTTTATGAAATATTGCCAGATAATTGGCAAAGGTATTAATAGTTATCAATTTAGCCGTTTAAAAGGGGAACATAAGCAATAAACTTAAAAAACACTTTAAAAAATGTCAATAAATTACTTAAAAAAAAACAAATTAAATCCATTAAACTTTTAATGCATGTGTGTAAATCAAAATAATAACTTAAGAGGCATCTTATAAATCTGGCTTTATTAAACCAAATTATCATCATAAAACTTAGACAAAGAACTCATTTTGCAATTTTGTATTTCCCTGTGCCATAAAGAAACTATGAATAATTTTATAAATTTGCCAAAGGAGTTCCTTCTGCATGGAACCCTGCAAATTCTGCTCCTCAACTTTGTTTCTTGGCAAAAGGAAAAGTTTTTCGCACATGTCGGGATGATGGAAGGGGGCGGGGGGCAGGGGTGGTGGCTGGGGCGAGTTACAAGGGGTTAACCTGAGTTAAAGTTGAATATTTGAACTTGCATATAATGTGTTAAATAAGTTGTCTTTTGCGCCGTGCCGCACGTGGCGTATACTTCATATTTCCCAACTGAATCGCAGTCGCTGTCGCTCCGCCTGTCAGTGTTTGTTGCTTTTGCTTGTGTGCGTGGGTTGGTGATTTTAAGGCGGGATTTTTAGAAATGAGGGTGAGGGTGGGGGGCGTGGATGGTGATTCGTATTCGGCATGACCTTGCGTTGCTTGGCCCCACCCAAGGTTGATGGAGGTTTTTGCCACTCGAAACGCAGCAAAACAAAACAAAACCGAACAATTAATGCAACTGGGTTTTCGTGCCTCATTTGCATGCAGTCAAGGCAGCTGCATCGTGTTTCCGTTTCCCCGCTAAAACCTCAATTAGCCTGGCTTAATCAACAGCCAAAAGCATTTGCTCTGTATTTTTTTTTTTGTGGGGATTTTATTTCGGCCTAGAACACAAGTCAAAATGTTTCTCTCGCTCACGGGAAAATGGTTTCGCTTTTGGTTTACGAGCAATCACAGACACTTTCCACGGTCACCACTCTTTTCGCAGAAAACTGTCGAATGGCCCTTTCCGTGTCCCTTTTTTTTACTGCCCGCAATGATGCCAAAAAGTATGCTACAAAAAGTTGATTTTCACCCACGCACGTGTAAAACACACATGTACACGCACTGTCGCGTGAAGTACAGTGAAAGCTCGCAGAAACAAACCGATTTTCCTACCTTAATATAAAAATATTACGAAATTGGTATAATTTTTATTTTCTTTGTGTTTCAAATTTGTTGTATTAAACTATATAAATATAGAATACATTATAGAATTGATTAAATAATATCATGCTCATACTTAAAAATCATTTTTAGACCATATTTTTAAGCATCCACATTTTACAACTATAAATATTTAAAAGTATGTGATTCATATATTTTAAGCCTAAGGTTTCACACTTATAATTTGTACTGTAGCTGCACACACAAACAATTGAAAAACCAGATTCGTCCGAATTATGGAGAATTTTGCGCAAATGTTTGTGGCCAAGTCGTTTCATTTCCTTTTCCGTTTATGATTACCCGTCGATGGAGAGTTTTGTGTGCACTTTCGAAGCTTTCTATTCTCGCATTTAATTTAAGTTTATGCTTTTGTGTAAAACGTATATGTTCACAGCAGTTGAACAATACAACATAGGAATATGCGCATATTTTGAAGATATATAAGCTGTGGCCCCAAGATACCCATAAATACAAGCGGTTGCAGTTTGTGATTTAAACAAAGGACTCGCTAAATTTCAGATTTAGGCTAACGATTGAGTAGGATCGTAAACTAGCATTGGAAGATGAGAATTTTATTGTCACAAGCTAATATTCTTCCGATTTTAATGCAAGTTTTACTATTGAAAATGTAGATTTGAAAAAACGGAGCAAGTTGCGGGTAGAGAAAATCGTTAAAAAGTTTTTAACACGCAGATTAGTAAAGAAAAAGAATCTTAAAACCAAGATGGCCCGGATCCAAACAAGACATATCCTTTTATTTGTCTTTGCATATCAAGCTCTATTCTGCATTTTGACATGCCATTACTTAAACCCTTGCAGGGTTGTAAAATTCAGCACTTTCTTACAGTCTATTAAATTCTCAAGGATATCAAGAATGTTTCTGTCCGAAGGACCTCAGCTGGACAACCTTGAGCGAAACTCCACGATGCTTTCTGCTTCATGTTGTAAAGTTTGCTCTGTGAAGCACCTCTAGTTGCTCTATTTTCTTGTTTAAGAATCTTACACTTCATTAATTCACTTTGATAGTTAAGAACTAAATATTTTTTTAAATTTTTTAATTCCGCGTTAATCCGATTTAGGATGCACATGAGTTGAGGTCATCAGCTAGGAACTCCGTGCTAAATTGAGTTTCATGGTTTTGCATATTTCGAAGGAAGCCAATTTAATTAAGTTTACCTCGCGTTTTGTTTGGTTTGCTTCACATTTTCCGTTGTGTTATTATTTTTTTTGAAACCATGTCATTCAACCTTTCAAGAACATGAACCTTTGACTACCCAACACCCACAAAATCTTTCCTTGTCCTCAAAAACCAAGAAAAACTGTTCCCTGTG